TGTGCTGCCAGGACCTCAAAACCCTGACCCTATCCCAGACCTAAAATTTTGATTTTACATACCCTACCCCAGACTAAAACTAAGAATTGTACAGCCTATCCCAGACTAAATGATGGAAATGACAGTTATTCAATAGATTGCAATCAATATTTACTAACGTTTTTGTTGTTTTTGTGCCGTCAGAAAGCGTACCCTATTCGCCAGACAAAAACGAGCAAATCATTAACCCTATCCTAGATAAAAATGATACCCTATCCCAGACCAAATGTCAAAAAAATGATACCCTACCCCAGACCCAAAAGCTGAAAATCCATACCCTATAGGGCGGCACATACCCGTATAGCAAATATAGGGCAGTACCCCCCCCCCCCGGGAGTCAGGGCATGGCTAAGAAAAGGAAGCAAGATATGTGTGAAATACCATTGCATGACATAATATGATTAAAATGAAAGGACTGTCAAATCACCAGAATATAGAGCACTGAACTATGTACTATAATAGTCTACTGTCTTTGACATTATTGTTTAATGGTTTACTGTTTTCTATCACTGCACCTGTCATCTCTAGAGTGCAAACTTATAAATGATCTGCCAACATAACGATGTAACAGATTGACAAACAATGTTTTTAAAGCAGAAGTTCCATAGCACCGTTCAAATCACAAACGCAAAACCCTACGAATAAACCTAAGCGTAAGGACTGCGATTCTCTGTAGATTTTGTACATAAAAATAGAGACCAATCGCACACTTGGAAATACACGTAAACAACCTATGGATAGAGAGAAAGTGAAACTTGCTGTCTTGAAATTACCGTAAAAGGGTAGTCTTCGACGTTTCCTACTGCTATAGCCGCTTTATCATCGAAGGTATTTGCAGCACCAGTTAATACTTGATGTAGTTTCATCCTTACGACTTTAAAATTTCAAGAAACCTTCTTTTTTCTTGACAAAAAGAACTTTCCCTTCTACTGGACGCCATCTTGGTTCTTGTCACAAAGAAATCCTTAGTGGGGAAGGGCTAGGCTAAATTTTGTTTTCCAAATCTTTCAAATATTTTATTTCTATTGGTTTAGAAGCTTGTCAATCAAGCAAAATTCATAGGGGAGGGGTAGGAGAGAAATTATTTTATCGAGTGGCTTATAGTGCATCCTGGGTATTTTTGTGAGCCCAGGGTATATTGTCAGCTGTATCTCAATCAAAAACAAAATGGCGGACGAAGGAGAAGAAAATGAAGAGAGTCTTGTTCAAGCTTTTGCTGCTTTTCCTATAGAAGATACTGAAAAAAGACCAACGTGCAAGCGATGCAAGTAGGTTATAGGCTCTTGATATTTCTTCTTTATTTTCACTCAGCGTTGTGTAAAGATCTGGAGGAATGAGATTTAAAATAGCGGCAGGCTGCAAAGAGACTGTAAACTCTAAGCGTGTTAAAAGCTTATGAATTTGAAAAGGGTGCTAAAGATAGGTTTAATGAGATAATATAAATAAGGATAAGCTTAATATTAAAAGAAACTGTGATTAATTCCAGGCGTCCAACATCTGTTTGTCTGTGCTCATACCTTCCACAACACCTGCTGAATATTCAGACAACAGTCCATATTTTACAACATCCTAAAGAAGTAAGCATAATTAAAACAATAGCACTGCAAGAAGCCCAGGCTTGGTGATTGTATTTATGTTATTTACAGTATCTCCTTTCAGGCTTGTTGCCAGAACTTAGGAAGGGAGGGTGGGGGGCTACATCAGGATACCCATATCCCAGCCATATACATGTATTGCTCTCTAACATAGAAGGCCAACATGCAAATAGGCCAAACAAAGGCCCTTTTTATTAATCTTTTTAAATCAAAATCCTATTATTGGGATTTTTGTGTTATAAATGCAGTATTGTGGTCCAGTCAAATAATAACTATATATTGGCAAAATATATTACCTAGAAATCTAAAATCTACCATTGATCTTGGAGATCATTTTTCCCCAGTCCTTTGTGAGAATACAAGTTTTGAGGGATACTCTAATTTCTTTGGTTTGTTTGTGGCTCTTTATTTTCCATATTTCATTACAATTTCTTTAGTTATATTATCTCTTTTTGTATTCCAGGAATCCAGACTATTGACGACTGTTCCTATCCTTGAAGCCAGTCTTCAACCAGAAAAATGTATAATATATAGAGAGAATAGATTTCATGAACCAGATTATCCAGAACTTTATAATGTTTTCTCACAACCAAACTCTTTACTTCTTTATCCTGGACCTCAAGGTTTGTTTACTTGTTTGTATGATTCTTGTTAAGTTGGGTTTCCTGTGGGTTTTAAAATACAGTATCTTGCAAATATTGGGAATAGAATAGAAATAGAAAGGAAAAGGGATGGGATTGAGATAAGATAGAAATGAGATAAAACTGATCAATGATTTATCAAGACTTTTTATTGCTTTCAGCTGCTGATTTGAAAACACTGGATCTCAAACGTTATCCAGAATATAACCTGATTGTCCTAGATGGAACATGGAGACAAGCTAGGAATATCTTCCACTGTAATCCCATTTTGAATAACATCAAACAGGTGAGATTGACTGTGTATTGTTACTTACATCCAGAGTTTCAAAGATGAGTTTTAATGGCCAGATATGATGACCAGTCAATGTGTTCAATTTATGTGACCAAGATGACGTAAGAGGATCTGGACAATTGCCAATAGTCCCTTTCACAGTTCCCTGTGCCATGTTAAAAGGTAGCAGTGCCTTTGCATTGAAGGGAGATGAACAGTGAGCTTGCAATGATAAACACATGTGAATAATTGTCCAAGGTGTTAAAAAAGGTCTCTATCATTGAAAGGTCACCGTTCATCTCCCTTCAATGCAAAGGTACAGCTACCTTTTAACATGGCACAGGGAACTGTGAAAGGGACTATTTTAGCTGGACATTTGGTCTTTTGTCTGGCTGATAATTTTTACCCTGAGAAGAATTTGAATCATTTAATTCAAAAACACCACCTTACCATCCTTTCTAGGTTGTAGTGGAACACCACAATGTAAGTGAATATGTTATCCGAACACAACCCACTAACCAAAGTTTGTGTACAGTGGAGGCAGTAGCTCTAGCATTAGAGATACTTGAAGATGACATACATATTTATAAGGTACTGAATTGATCATGAATAACTCTTTAAGTGATATAGAAAATAGCTTAGAAAGCTAAAGAAAAGAAGTCCCTCTTAAAATGATCTTTTTGAGGTCCAAAATAAGTCTGCATTCTTGATATTTTACAATGAAAAATTCAAAGATAATATACATTTATAAATATCAATGATGATCTAGATAGAAAAATATCAAAAATCAATATTTTTGCAAGGTTTGGAGTAATAACAAATAAGAGGTGCATTTCTTAGCACATTTCTTACTGCGGTTTTCCATATTCTGGGAACCTCAGACCTTCCAACAGCTTGTTGTGAAATGGGTTTTTCACTGCCGCCAGTCAATAGCATAAGAGGTACTGACTTATTATTTTTGATTGACGGCAGCGAAAAAGCAGATTTCAGCATGCAGCTTGCAACTACTGAGTTCGCAGAATATAGAAAACCGCAGGAACATACAGTTTGATTTTTAAAACTCAAATTTTTCCTTAAATCGAACAGCGCTTAATCAACCCACTGAAAGCTTTGTGCCAGTTTCAATTGGATCATGGTGCATTAGTACACTGCAGTAAGGAGGAAAAAGAGAAAGAACTCCTTAAAGAAATGTAAGTAAAACAATAGGACAATTATTGCATTTCCATTATTCTGTATATCTCATAACGCACTAAAAAAATATGAAATTCAAAGGCTAAAATGGGATAGCGCATTTTCATTATTTTTGGTAGACTCAACAGTGAACATCGTCAGATAATTCCAAAAAAATTTTTAACAAATTAATTCTAATATATCTGCTTCTCTGTGTCTATTATTATGCAACTTACTAGCCTGATAACTCATTACATTATTATTATATATTATTTAACAATTATTCGCCGAAGGCGAAGTGATTATCGGGGAATAGAGAGTTTTAGATTGACTTTTTTTCTCCCCGCAAACGGCAAACGTGACCACGTTTTCATAGTTTTCCTTTATTTTACTTTACCTTTTAAAAACCTTCTCACCAAGCGCAAATACTCTTTTGTTTTTCTACTACTTGGACTT